TGTATAACTAGCCACTTAGAAGGGAGTGTGGCCCAGCTGGTAGCATGCTTGCCTAGCATATCTTACATATGAAAGAGGTTGTAGGTCCAGTTGCAGCATCACACAAGCCAGAGGTGCATCCCTGTAATTGTAACACTCAGGAACAAGCAGGGAGGATCAGAAGTTCCTGGTCATTCTCTAAATTGAAACCAGCTCTAGGGTCTATAGGACCCTGTCCCCTAAGAACTAGTCACTTAGGCATCTGTGGCTTCTCAGGAAGCTAAAGCACAAAAGGATTATAAGATCTTGTCTCAGGCTGGAGAGATGGCTCGGCGGTTAAGAGCACTGCCTGTTCTTCCAAAGGTCCTGAGTTCAATTCCCAGTAACCACATGGTGGCTCACAACCATCTGTAATGAGGTCTGGTGCCCTCTTCTGGCCTGCAGGCATACAAGCAGACAGAATACTGTATAAATAATAAATAAATAATTTTTTTTTTTTTTTAAAAAAAGATCTTGTCTCTCTGGGCGGTGGTGGCACACTCTGGAGGTAGAGGCAGGCAGATCTTTGTGAATTTGAGGCTACAGAGTGAGTTCCAGGACAGGCTCCAAAGCTACACAGAAACACTCAGGGGGAAAAAAAAAAACTTGTCTCAAAAATCTGGGTCTATGCCTTATAATCTCATAAAGCCAGAAGAGGAGGAGACTGTAAAATACATAATTGCAAGAGTCAGTCTGGAAACAAAAAAATAAATAGTAAGTAATTCCTCTCCCCTTTATTGAAAATATATTCTTTTTCAGTAAAGGGGGGTGGATAATTCGATTATAATTTCCCCTTCCTCTACTCCTAGTTTTGCCCCATCTCCCCTCTCCTGGATCCACTTCCTTTCTGTCTCTCATTAGAAAAGAACAAATTTCTAGGGCTGGAGAGATGGCTCAGTGGTTAAGAGCACTGACTGCTCTTCCAGAGGTCCTGAGTTCAATTCCCAGCAACCACATGGTAGCTCACAACCATCTGTAATGAGAACTGGCGTCCCCTTCTGGCACAGGGGCACACATGGAAGGAATGCTGTACACATAATAAATAAATC